CTTGGCCCGCCTATGATCAGTTAGACCTATCAGGAAATGGGTACGGACCGCAACAGTAGGGGACTTCCCTGCGGTCCACATTGAGAACCAAGCATCAAACATCTCGCCCAAGTCTGACGACCAGCAGATGTCTTGTGAAGTCCCCGTGTCCCAAAATCTCTCTGAACAATCATCCAGCCTACCATCCACAGTACCATTGTCAGCCTGGCCCTCCAGCCTTGGTTCGTCCCTCATCAATACACCAGAAGCGTCTCCACCAGCGGAACTGGTGACGGAAAATGCCAATGATGAATTGGAAGACGACAATTTGGTCGTTCCCATGTTAGAAATCACTTCACTGGCCAGTACTACTTGACTCACCTTCTATTATTTCTCTTCCTGATTCTTCCGATAATGTTTTTTCATCTGATGACTTACTCGATTCTATGTTGGACTCTGATACATCAATGCTCCCCTTCTCCATACTTGATGACGTGGATACAACACCAAACGTAGATTCTGTTATGAACACTAACATTACGCTGAGTGACATGTCTATTCCAGAGTCAATAGACACCACTGACTCCTACCCAAGTGTGACTAAGTTAAATGTGATCGACTTACACGCAATCTCGGAGGACGTTGAGGATGCTACGGAAAGCATGCCGTTCATGACACAAGTCATCTTGTACGGACCAGGAGGGAAAATGTCATGTTTCCAGGCGAACATAGATGATGGAGCCATGGTAAACATTATGGACCTTGAAACTTTCAGGGAAGCGAGCCGCAACCTTAAGAAGCCGATTAGATCAAATAGAAGCCTTCGCATGGCCAACGGATCAATTGTGCTGTCTCAAGGAGTATGGCAAGGAACGTTCCAATGGAACAAAGTCAAAATCCACACTTCCTTCAAAATATTCGATAGTGGCACAGTTTGGTCGATGTTGATTGGTAAGCCACTGCTCGAACAGCTGGGAGCAATCCACGATTACACCCAAGACGCCATCATCATCCCGCATCACCCCACACCTGTCGTCATACGCAACATCCATGGAACGACAGCAGCTCCGATCCCGAAAAAGTCGAAACTAACTGTAAATAATGCAGCTTCAACAGCGCAGAAACCAGTACATAGTAACATTGACCATTCTCATTTAGACTCAATTCTTGTCATTTCTATACCACCAGATACCAATACTAATTCCACTTCACCGAAAAATCTCAAAAGACCAATCGCAATGACGGAACATTATGTATTCAAGATCAATCCTCAAGTAGCAAAAGACCAGCTAGAAGACCATTCGAAATGCCTCGCACAAGCCAGAGCACACGTGGTGCAAGCAGATCAATGACCAGTCATCTCAGTAGTAACCGAACAGTCACCGCCATCACCATGCTCACCCGCTTCATTCACAGCAGTAGACATAGAGAATGAAAATGACACCAGCACACCAGCATGGCCGATTTTCAGTCAAACCGAAGACACCGAAGACGTCAATATAGGAGAAGTACCCGAGTTTCCGACAACCGAAGCTGCACCCAGCATCTACTCAAGACACACCAATCCGTTCAATCCAGCACGCATAGCAGAAATCATGCAAGTAATAAAGATAGGCGATGATCTCTCACCAAATCAGAAGATGCAGGTACATGATCTCTGCGAGGAATTTGCTGACACGTTTGCTCTCAGCGTCAGCGAGGTCTATCCGGTCAACTTCAAAATGTTCAAGCTACATTTCCAGGAAGGAACCAAATTCAAGACCAAAGTTAACCAGCGACCATTAACGCCGCCTCAAAGGGAGTTCCTGTACGAGCGCCTCAACGAACTAGAGAAGGCGGGCATCATCCGAAGAATCGAACCAGAGGACGTCAGGGCAGCAAGTCCGACAGTACTAGCCCAAAAGGCTCATGGCTCAGAAGGACTACCGATAGAAGAACTCCTACATTGGATCAACAAACAATGCAGTGCCCACGGACTACCAACGCGAGACGATCTCCCACCACGTCCCCCACTCGATAACAACGCTAAGGTCAAGAAATCGACCCCAAAGTGGCGGATATGCCAAAACTTCTCAGAGGTAAATCAAGCCAGTCAAGTCCCACCTGTTCCGCAAGGAGACATACGGACTAAACAGCAATGGCTGAGTGGGCACAGGTGGATAAGTATCATAGACTTTGCAGCCGGATTTTACGCTATTCCAGTCGATCCAGACTCTCAACCTTACCTAGTGTTCTACACGGAAGGCCGAGGATACGACTGCTATTGTTGTATGCCTTTCGGACTGACAGGAGGACTGACAAATTTCGGAGACATGGCTGCTATCGCCCTCCGCGACTTAATTGGTTTGCTCTTCGAATTGTATGTTGATGACACCGGAATGGCAGGAGACGTTTTCGAAGAAAAACTATCATGCCTACGAACATTTTTCGAGCGTGTACGAGACATGCGCCTGTCACTATCTCCCTCAAAGACACAACTGTTTATGACAGAAGTTATTTTTGCAGGAGCACGAGTAGGACGTGAAGGTATCAAACCCGACTTAACCAAAATTTCAGCAGTAGTAGACTGGGCAGTCCCCAACACCGTTCACGATCTGATGCAATTTCTAGGTTTAACAGGGTATTTCAGATCGTTATTGAAGGACTATGCAAGACGAGCAGCCCCATTAACGGACTTAATTAGGAAGCTGGGCACCCCTCCGGGAGGCCAACATGTCGGTAGGTACAAGTACAGACAACACTTACATCATACACAGCTACGACCGCACTGGGGACCTCGTCACACGGAAGCGTTTATGGACCTCAAGAAGGCACTAGTGTCAGAACCAGTACTCAAGGGACCAAGATTCGACAGGACACCATTCATCGTGACGATTTGGCACCGTACTGGCCCAGAAACACACCTCCACCCTAATGTCAGGGAAAGTAGTCACCTCCATTCACCCAATAGCATATGCGTCAAAACGCACATCACCTACTGAAGAGAAGTACAAGCCATTTATACTCGAGTTCGCTGCACTGAAGTATGCTCTAGATCAATTTTCAGACATTATCTGGGGCGCACCGGTGGAAATAGAAACAGATTGCCAAGCCCTACGGGACACGCTACTCAGTCCGAAACTTAGCATGGTACACGCGCATTGGAGGGATGGAATCCTCGCATATCATATAACTGACGTTCAACACCAAGCAGGAACATCAAACACAGCGGCTGACAGACTGAGTCACGGATCATGACAAGGGAACGAATCATAGGAGATGGCAGCAGATGGACGGTTAGTGAAGATTGGGAAGAAGCACGAGGAATCACGCAAGATTTATTTGCAGTAGGATCTAGTACTCAAGTATCAACCACAAATGTGGACGCCTTATGATCACGCTTTGCTAACGAACCTTTGTTTTTAGAAATTGTCGACGCGATTCAGGACTTAGACTCAGAGAAGACAGTCAAGGAGAAAAGGCGTGCTCGTCATCGAGCACAACACTTCTTCATCTCTGAGGGTAAACTTTGGTGGGTACCCAATGACTCGTCAACTCGAGTACACGGCAAGTTAGAATGCGTAACGCAGGAGGAAGCTATGGAACTGGCAAGGATAGAGCACTCGACAAAAGGGCATTGGGGGAGAGACTTAGTGAAGCTACAGCTGATTGATCGCATATACAGCCCTTGATTGGACCGATCCGTAAGCACCGCCATCATAGATTGCGCACAGTGCAAGGGATTCGGCGCAGCACACATCAACTCTCTCCTCAAACCTACTGTACGAAAACACCCGTTCGAGCTATTCGTTGTGGACTACTTAGCCATGCCCAGAGCAAAGGGAGGATTTCACAATGTTCTTCTCATCATTGATACGTACTCACAATACGTTTGGGGATTCAAACTCAAGGTACACGGCACTGCAAAGACAATGTTGGCAGGACTCGAGAAAATATGACACGACTTCAGACAACCGGAGATATTGATGACAGACAGAGGAAAGCATTTCGATAACACGGACGTAAAGACATGGTGCGACGCACATGAAGTCAAAAGACATGTCACAGCAGCCTATGCTCCGTGGGTCAATGGGCTTGTTGAAGGCACCAACAAGATCTTATTGGCGCGGCTCAAGTACATGTGTGCCCCCCAGTTGGGAGAAGATAACTATATCGACGTTGACCCACAGACCATACCTGCGGCCTGGTCTGACCATTTTGACCAGGCCATTGAACATCTCAATGGGAGGGTCCTACCAGCCTACCAATTCTCGCCAAGAGAACTCTTACTTGGCCTAGTCGTCGACACGCCACGCACACCTCTTCCAGCCACTTCTAACCAACTCTCCATGGCAGACATACATGTCCACTCTGTGTATGTAGCGCAACAACGGTTAGACGCCTTGGCCAACTGCATCGCAGATTCGCTCAAACGTAAAGCAGCATTCGACAAACGAGTCCTTGCATCACCAACAGGACACGTTGTCTTTCACCCAGGCCAACTCATACAAGTATATGCGAGCGATGTTGACGGTAACTACAAGTCATCAAGAAAGATCATACCACGTTGGTCCGCCCCTCGCCAAGTAACCTCTCAGCGAACAAATTCATACGCACTAGAAACTCTCGAAGGATTTCCAATGGCGGGGTGGTTCCATGCGAGAAGACTTAGACTGTTCCTGCTGCGCACAGGCACACTGCTAGATGAGATGGAGAAAGAAAGGGAGGGAAACGAGACGCGAAGAGAAGAGGAAGAAGCTGGAACAAAGGAATAGATGTAAAAAGACAGAGAGGACGAGAAGCGGAAGAGCGAGAAAGATACGGCTGAATATGCAGATTTTTTCCTTTTATTTTCCTTTCTCCTTGGGCGACGTGACTCCGAGGATGTCGCATTTTTGTGGGGGGTATTTGTAGTAGGGTGCACGTGCCTCAGGAGCACTTCCGGTTTGGGGAGTCAGCGGGTTTGGCCGGTTCGGAGCCTTTAGAAGGCACTTAAGAGTAGCACCACTTGTAGAGTAGCTTTTAGATTTTTCACATCTTGTTCAGACCAAGTGTCGAGGCTGTGCCTCTCCACCGTGCCTCACAAGCCAGCCAGAATAGCTAACCATAACACCCGGATCATAAGCGAGCTTGATGCCCAAGTTGGTCAATTGCATGACACTATGGCCATAGCCGCCTATGCAAGTAAGGATATCAAAACCTTCCAGGGGGCACTTCAGATCTTGATGGCTCGGCAACTGCCTGTTACACATTATTGCCGCTCCCATGTAGACAGATGTCCAATGTTGAAGGAACTTGCACATATCATCCAGTCCTTGCTTGGCTGCCCAATGCCCAAGCTCTATATGAGTGGATATAGATGCACGGTATAACTGCGGGTGCATGACACGAAGGGGAGCCGAAGATATGAGACTCAGATGTTGCATGTCTTGGATGATTGACAGGCTCCTGTCCCTTCAAGGTAGTGGAGACTTCAGGCATAAAGCCATCCTCTGGGTTCACAGGCGGGGGCCCATGACACTGTTTGATGTTAGACATTTCCTGAGTACAGAAAATTCAAACACACCTCGTGTCCCTGTTGACACCAGCAAGGCAATATATTAATGCACCCAGGCTTTAACTGCGGCTCTTGGGAGGCATAAAAATTGGTTGAATGGGTTCTCCATTTACTCACCTGTCCCGTGGACGTCTTCCCACTGGTGATGCTCTGTTTCAATAGATTGCCCATCCCGATTGTGGCGGTGTACATATCACACTATGTCCATCCTCCCCATTAGCATTTTACAATTTTAGTGCAATCCCATGCCGACCTGCACCGATGAGTTAAGCGCACCCAGAAGGTACCAGAGTATTATCCAGTAGCCGGCATCGAGCACAACCGACGGGCGTTCCAATACCAGGCACTCAGCGGGGGGGGAACTTCACCAATAATGCTTCTTCATGAGAATCGTTCAATCCCGACTCCCGTTTGGCCAACACCTCGTTGTACCAGATAACGTTGATGTCCAGTTTTACTACAAACATTACAATGGGCCGACACCAAACATGTAAGGTTCAACCTTACCGGGGTGTTGGTAGGCCTCTGCCAGCATGGAGGCCAACTGTCCGCAAGCAACCATAGTTTCCGGGTCAAGTTTGGGCAGTGCAGGCACCAGCGGTCACATATTACAGTGACCTATCTCCGTATTATATGAGGGAACGGACATGCATAATATCCCGTATGATACAGGCCAGCGGACCATGGGCCCATGATAAAAATATCCTCGACTATGACGGATGGGCCGGGAGGCAAATTATTCCCGATGGAGGTGGGTGGGCCCATGCAGGGGATATACATATAGAGTAGATAAGTGGGCCGATGTGCATGAATATTAGGTAGATGGGTGGGCCGAGGCAGTTGGATATTATGCAGATGGGTGTATTAAGGTAGATGTGTATGAGATAGATGGGTAGGTACTTGTTATCACATTCACAGGTGGGCCCAGACACATATTAAATTAGACGGGTGGGCCGAGGGTATTATAAAATATTGTATTAGATGGGTGGGCCCAGACACATATCAATTAGACGGGTGGGCTGAGGGTGTTGTATGGGATGTTGTATTAGACGGGTGGGCCGAGAGTGGTATAAAATATAGATGGGTGGGCCCATGTGTATCATAATTGTAAACACGATGGAGCTGAGGTAGTTGTACATCAACCAAATCAGAGGAGGTAATAAAATCAAAGTTACCAAGTTCCTGGAGCAGCAGGTGATCTCCTGACATGGCCTTTGATGGTGCACAGGTTGTCTTGCAAAATTTGGAATCCGGGGTGTGAAGCTTGTGTTACCCTATGAGAAGCCAAGTTCCGATTACCAACCTTTGGGTCAACCATACTCAGAGGAGGTAATAAATCAAAGTTCCTGAGTTCCCGGAGCAGCAGGTGATCTCCTGACATGGCCTTTGATGGTGCACAGGTTGTCTTGCAGAATTTGGAATCCAGGGTGTGAAGCTTGTGTTGCCCTATGAGACGCCAAGTTCCGACCACCCAAATTTGGGTCAACCGTACCGACTTCTGAGTTCTGGGACCCGGGAGTCGACAAATGAATATCTGATAACCAGCACACTTCCAATCAGGTAGTATTTCATTGAGCAATGAATTATCCAAGGGGTCTCTTATCAGACTCGGTAGTCAATATGGGCAAATGATAATGAAAACATAAAAGTTGTTATTATGCTATTTTTCAAACCCGAGACCCTGAAACCCATTGTTCAACATGTCCATTTTTCACTCACTGCACAAATCACCGAGTTTCGAGTGCCAAAGCATGAAACTTGAAACCCAGTGTGCAACATGTCCATTTTTCATGTACATTACACAATTCATTGAGTTCCGAGTGCCAAGTGCTGAACCCCGAGACCCAAAAATATGTACACAACATGTCCATTTTTCACTCACTGCACAAATCACCGAGTTTCGAGTGCCAAAGCGTGAAACTGGAAACCCAATGTGCAACATGTTGATTTTTCATTTACATCACACAAATCATTGAGTTATGAGTGCTGAGGTCCAAGACCCGAACCCTGAAAATATGTGCACAACATGTCCATTTTTTACTTGTTGCACAAATCACTGAGTTTCAAGTGCTGAAACCCAAAACTCAAAACACGGCATGCAACATGTTGATTTTTCATTTATATTACACAGATCATCAAGTTCCGAGCTCCGAGGGCCGAAACCCGAACCCCGAGACCCGAAAATATGTACACAACATGTCCATTTTTCACTCATTGCACAAATCACCGAGTTTTGAGTGCTGAAACCCAAAACTTGAAACCCAGCGTGCAACATGTTGATTTTTCATTTACATCACACAAATCATTGAGTTATGAGTGCCGAGGTCCAAGACCTGAACCCCGAACCCCGAAAATATGTGCACAATATGTCCATTTTTTACTTGTTGCACAAATCACTGAGTTTTGAGTGCTGAAACTTGAAACTCAAAACCCGGCATGCAACATGTCCATTTTTCATTTATATTACACAAATCATCAAGTTCCGAGTGCCGAGGGCCGAAACCCGAACCCCGAGACCCGAAAATATGTACACAACATGTCCATTTTTCACTCATTGCACAAATCACCGAGTTTTGAGTGCCGAAACCCAAAACTTGAAACCCGGCGTGCAACATCTTGATTATTCATTTACATCACACAAATCATTGAGTTCCGAGGTCCGAGGTCCGAGACCCGAACCCCGAAAATATGTGCACAACATGTCCATTTTTTACTTGTTGCACAAATCACTGAGTTTCAAGTGCCGAAACCCAAAACTCAAAACCCGGCATGCAACATGTCCATTGTTTAATTACGAGCTCACGCCCGTTGTGCCTTCGGCACAAATCAAAGGAGCGCTACGCGCTCCTTCAGGGGAGAAAAATGAGTGTTGTTCCTTCGTCACAGGAAGCCAAGGAGGGCTACGCCCTCCTTTGGCTTCCTGGCCTCAGGCTGCATCCTAATAAATTGTGCATTTTGAATGATTTTGAAATATATTTATGAGCAGCTTTTCAAAAAAACTCAAAGTACAATCTATCACACCACATAAAAGTACATAGTACTACATACAATCAGTCAGTGCTATGTTCTTTGAGCAGGATTTTGACCAATATAAAAATACAAAATATGTAACAGTATCATTGAATGTATTTGTTTTCCCATTTTTCCCTGCTTCCCATCTAGGGATCAGCAGGGGTATGGGAAACCCTTGAGGGTACGGGTAGGGGTTTGGATCTGAAGACCCCTGTACCCCTGGGAATATACCTCCAAATTGATTACCATAGGAGTGATGGATCAGTATAAAATTTTGAAGTTGTACATGTGCCTTCAAATGGTAATATATGTGATTGGAAAAAATGTTACCATGGGGTATACCCATGCTAATCCCTACTCCCTACTCCCTACTCCCTACTTCCTACTCCTGTCTCCTGTCTCCTGTCTCCTGTCTCCTGTCTCCCGTCTCCTGTCTCCCTTCTCCCGTCTCCCGTCTCCCGTCTCCCGTCTCCCGTCTCCCGTCTCCCGTCTCCCGTCTCCCGTCTCCCGTCTCCCGTCTCCCGTCTCCCGTCTCCCGTCTCCCGTCTCCCGTCTCCCGTCTCCCGTCTCCCGTCTCCCGTCTCCCGTCTCCCGTCTCCCGTCTCCCGTCTCCCATCTCCCATCTCCCGTCTCCCTTCTCCCGTCTCCCTTCTCCCGTCTCCCTTCTCCTGTCTCCTGTCTCCTGTCTCCTGTCTCCCGTCTCCCATCTCCCATCTCCCATCTTCCCAATCTCTCTGTTTCCCATCTCCCGACCTCCTGATCTCTCTGTTTCCCATCTCCCATCCTCCCGATCTCCCTGTTTCCCTGTTTCCCATTTTCCCATCCTCCCCATCTTCTGTTCTCCTATCTCCTCCCATTCTCCCTGTTTCCCATTCCCAATTTTCCTGTCTCCTCACTATCTCCTGTTCTCCAGTTGTCAAGTCTCTACTTTCTCTATTTTTTATTTATTTTTTCACAACCTTTTCTCATTCATTTCCTGTCACCACATATATTTGTTGTCCCCCTGTCTGCAAAATTATATCATGTTGTTCCATTTTCAATTTTATTATTTACTGTATGCATGTAACATAAACAATTACATTACAATAAGGAAAATACTTGTATTGCGTAGTGCGCTGCTCTAATGGGCAACTGAGTCGGCGCTCGAAAGCCACGCGAGAAAACCACGCGAGATTTCCAAAAACAGGTTTAAGCGAGGTAAGCGAAATACGCGAAATACGCGAAAGCCACGCGAGCGCGCGAACGTTTCCGAAAACCGTCGTACTTTACTTCTTAGATATTACACAAGTCATTGATTTCCGAGTTCTGAGGCCGAAACCCGAACCCCGAAAATATGTACACAACATGTCCATTTTTCACTCATTGCACAAATCACCGAGTTTTGAGTGCCAAAACCCGAAACTCGAAACCCGGCATGCAACATGTTGATTTTTCATTTACATTACTCAAATCATCGAGTTCCGAGTGCCGAGGGCCAAGACCCAAAGCCTGAAACCCAAAATCATGTACACAACATGTCCATTTTTCACTCATTTCACAAATCACCAAGTGTCGAGTGTCAAAACCTGAAACCCAGTACTTCAAATGGACACAAATTGTATTTGTATGTATTATCCATTCACATCGGGGTGAACGATATTTAAAAGAGGTTTATATGTTGTACAAAATGTGAAGACAATATTGAATATTCAAACTAACATAAAGATGAGTGCACAACTTCAAATTTTGGTGGTGTTTTATGTGTGATCCAAAATATCAAATATTCACAACCATATTCCCACAGACAATATGTCAACAAACATAAGAAATATAGTCAGATTTTTCATGTCTGCTTCAACTTAAAGTTCAATTTCCATGTAAAACTTTGGAGAAAACTTGAAGTTTTCCAGATGACATGACATTAAAACTCAATTTAAATGTCAAGCTGTGGCAAAACTTCAAGTTTTCTCCAAAGTTATATGTAAGGATCAAACTTTAAATTGAAGCAGATATGGAAAATCTGATTATATTTCTTATATTTGTTGACATATTGTCTGTGTGAATATGGTTGTGAATATTTGATATTTTGGATGACACACAAAACACCACCAAAATTTGAAGTCATGCACCCATCTTCATGTTAGTTTAAATATCAAATATTGTTTTCACATTTTGGACAA